ATACAATGGCTAATGGTACATGACAAACTGCTTGATGAAACTAATCATCCTGGAATGAAGATCAGAATCACAGTGCAATTAATACCTCACCCCAATTGGAGTGAGAGAAATAAAATTACCAACACGAACATGGGAAAATGGGAAACTTTGCACACTGCAGGTAGATGTGCAGCTATTTAGATAGTATGAAAAAAGTTGAAACTAGAAACCACTGTTCTTATACACAAGTTCTACTACTTGATCTCTATCCAGAGGAACTGGAGAAAATCAATCTCTCATCAATCAAATATAAGGAAAAGATCCTTAAAAGTGCATGTGGAAAAAAATAAATTAATATATAGAAGAATGTCAATTAAATTCACAGCTGATCACTCATAGGAAACTCTGGATTCTGGAAGAGAATGGAACGACATATTCCAGATTGTAAAACAAAAAAATTGTCGGCCCAGGATAATGTACCCAGGAAGTTTTCCTTTGTCTTTGAAAATGAAATAAAATTCTTCCACAGTAAAGAAAAATTAAAAATATATGCCTCTTCCAAACCTGCCCTCCAGATGATCCTTAAAGATGTTTTCTTGAGAGAAGAGAAATAGCACCCACTCAAGCCAACGGCAAATATGAAGGACATCCCTGTAAAATAACAACAGAAGACTAAATCAATGAACAACTGATTATAAATTACAGGACCAAATTTACCATTAATCTATTAATATTAGTTAATATCAATTAATTAAATTGTCATTAATATTATTAATTAATAGTAATTCATTAATATTAGCCCTGAGTGTAAATGGCTTAAACCCATCAATCAAATATCATAGGTTAGTAGAATTGATTGAAAACACAAAACCCATCTCTTTGTTGCCTATATTAGACACATCTCACCAACAAAGATCAGTAGAAACTATATCTCATGGTTTTTGATGTTTTTAATTTCATTTCTTTAGAAGACATTTTTTCTCATTAAGTTATGCGATGACACATAGATCTACAATAGCATCATTTTCTTCAAGAAGATTCTTGATTTTCATTTCTGACACATTAGTCATTCAGTAGTATGTTATTTAACTTCATGGTGTTGTTAATTTCTTTTTTTTTTTTTCTTGCTGTTGTGATTTTGCTTTGTGGCTTTTCATTTGAGGGGATATATAGTAACTGTGTAATGAAGAGTATCATTTCCAGTGTCATGTTCTTTAACTTCATGGCATTGTAAGTTTCTGTTTTTTCTTCATGTTGTTGATTTTGCCTTGTGACTTTCCATTTAAGGGTATGCATAGTAACTGTGTAATGGAGACTATCATATCCAGTGTCATGTTATTTAACTTCATGACATTGTAAATTTCTATTTTTTTTTCTGTTGTTGGTTTTGTTATGGCTTTTCACTTGGAGATTTTTAATGACTGTGTAGTGGAGACTGACATGTCCAGAAGTGAGGACATGGTGCAGTGTGCATCTCTACTTCCAGATTGAGGATGGACTCCCAGTGAACCTGTTGGATGTGTCTTGACAATGGGATGCTGGGCTCTCTGCCATTGTCCAAGCCAGCAATGATAGACTTATGACTGTTTATGAGGAACTAGGCTGCTGTAATGATATGGGAGAACTCAGTGGGAGGGGGGATTAGGAGAGAGGGTAGGGAAGATCCCAGGGTCTATGGAACTGTATCATAAAATGATGACAATAAAACAAAAAATTTAAAAAAGAAATTGAAAATAAATCAGTGTAATTTATTCTTTCACATTATTCTTTGGTAAAATAATTTTTACTTAGTCTAGGACTTGTGCCTTCTTAGATAAATTTTAGAATTAGCATGGCTGTCTACTAAATAACTCACTGTGATTTTGATATAAATTATTTTCACTTCTATACAGATCACCTTACGGAGAACTGACTTCTTCACTGTGTTGCACATCCCATCCATGCAGATAGCATGTCTCTACTGTTTGTTTAGATCTTCCTTGTCCGTTTCTTCATCACTTTTTTGTTTACTACATACATTTTCTGTTTGTGTTTTGGTAGTATTATCTTATTTTACTTTCTTTAGAGTGATTATAAACAATGTTGTGTTTTTACTTAGTTTCTACACAGCAGTTTAGTATATACAAATGTAATTGATTCTTGTGTGTGTTGGTTTTGTATCGTATGATCTTGTTGAATTCACTTATTAGTCCTAAGAGACTTGTAGAAGTTTGAGAATCCTTAGGATTTCCTACATAGACAAGCATGCCATTTGAAGTTAGACTTACCTCATCCTTTCTGCTCTTTTGCCTCATGAATATTTTTGGCCTTACTGCTTTGCTAGTATGTCAGATCGTCTCTTAAATAGGAATGGTGACAGCAAATATTCCTCCCATCACTGATCTTAGAAAATTAAGTGATTTTTTTTTCCCTGTGAAAGACTGTATGAAAAGGATGAAAGGGTAAGCGACAGAATGAAAGAAACTAGTTGGAAGTAATGTAGCCCTCGGATATCTTGTATCTGGATTCTATAGAGGGCTCGCAGAAGTCAACAGTGAAAATCACACATAAACCAGTTAGAAAAGCAAACAAGGAATGTGAAAAGATGCGCAACTTCATTAGTTTTCAGAAAACTCAGATTAAAACCACGATGAGTGAAGAAAAACAGTGGCAGCCAATACTGGCATGAAATGCTGCTGAAGATTTGAAGACATTGAATTACTCATACTTTACTTGCATTGGGATTGTAAAATGGTGCAGAATAGACACTGCCCATGAAACTTATCACATAACCCTACGAGGGAACATTGGACATTTAGTGTCCAGAAATGGAGATGTATGTTTACACAAAAAAATGGCACACAAATATTCATTGCATATTGTGTTAATAATAGCCAAACACTGGAAGCAACCCAGATGTCCTTCATAAAGTTGATGGCTAAACAAACTAGCATACATCCACACAAAAGAATACTGTTTTGCAATACAAAGGAATGGATGACATGCAGTGACTTAGATGGATCTCAAGGTAGTGATGTCAAGTGAACAACACTAACAAAGCCAATCTCAAAAGTTTATCCATTGTATGATTCTATTCACATAATCAGAATAATGAAAGTGTAGAATGAGAGCTGATTGTTGGCTGCCAAGAATAAGAGATTGGGATGGGTCAACGTGTCTTAAGGAATAGGACAAAAAGCCTGACTTTGGAACAACTCCATATTGTGTCTGTGTTACAGTTATCTAACACTCCATAAGTGTTAAGACTGCATAGCAACACACACGTACAGACACACCTGTCTGTAAAATTGGTGAAGTTCAAATAAGATTATGGATTGGTCCGATGTCAGTCCTGATTTTGATTGAGTAGTGTCATAGGGAGAAACTGGGTGAAGGATTTATAGGACCTTTTTAGTTCCTGTGTATAAAATACATCTTTCACAAAATTAAAATTCTAAATTATTAAAATGACAAAGCAGTGATTTTAAAGATTTTTTAAAAAATATTAAAAAATTTTTTCAGTTTTTAACATATTAAAATCTGGTTTTAGATAAAATTCTAAGAATTTTCATTCCTCCCTCCTCATTGTTCCTTTTTATAGCTTTTGAAGTAACACATTTTAAGTTTACATTACAATAAAAAAAGCTTGATAGCTAGAGAATAAGAAGTGTAACAGGTTAAAAAATGAAAAAAAAAAAAGAAGACAAAAAAACGTAAAAAACCCAAACCTGCAGTTTAGTGAATGATTATTTCAGCCAAATACAGTGAATTTTTAGGTAACCAAAGGTCATTAAAACTAGTAATATAACATTCTTAGTATCCATTGATTTGTAAAAAGCATAAAATAAAGTGATAAAAACAGTTTTGGCAGTAATACTGGGACAGATATTCCTATTTTGTTGTTTTGCTTTTTCATTTTTCCCTTTTTAAATTTTGGCTTTCACATTCAGTATTTGTCTTACTATGTCTAGCTTATTTCACTCTACATAATGTCCTTTAGTTATATGTATTTTATGCAAATAATCATTAATTCTTGAGTAAAGTTCCATTGTGTCTATATTCCACACTTTCTTTATCTGTTCATCTGATAATGAGCACCTTGGTTAATTCCAAATCTTGACTTTACACATGTGGTGCAAGTATTTCTTTGATTGAAGTGGAATTGCTGTATCATCCGGCAGGTGTATTTCTAGTTTTTTTAAAGAACCGTGCACTCCCACCAACAGAGTACAAATGTTCCTCTTTCCCCACATCTTTTGGATTGTAACCATTCTAACAGGGGCCAGGTCCATATCTTTGTGGTTTTGAATTGTGTTTCCTACAAGTGACATTGAGTGTTTTAAAAATGTATTCTTTGGCCGTTGCTTATTGAGGTCCTTTGCCGCTTTCTTAACTGGACTGGTTGTGTGTGTGCTAAGTTGCTGATGTATTCTGGTATTGAATCTTTGCAGGTGGATGTTTGTCAGCACAGCCTTGCTGTATGGCTAGCCCTCAGACTGTACCACGCATGACTTTTTAGACACATTGGGCACAGGAGATGGTCTGTACGCTGCTCTGCGATTCTAGTTCCTCAGTGCTGCTTCAGTGTCAGACTGCCACAAGTCCACAGTTCCTGATTCAGCCCACTGTGGGCAGTCCTCACGGATGGGTGTCCATTCTGCCTCAGTTGTGCAGAATCTTAGGCCAGGCTGACAGCGCTCAGGGTTTCGACTGGTCTCCACAGGGCTCTTTATGTGAGAGATAGCTAGGCCACCCTTGTGGCTAGAGGAAGTCTCCTGTGCTCTCACAGAATTACAACATGACTTCAAGCTCTCCCTTCAACATAAATGGTATTCCCTTGGTGAGCATTTCTCATTGTAAGTGGGTGCTTCCTTACTCACTGACCTATATTACAATAGTTACAATAGTTGTTGTGATTAAGACTTAAAGTTAAGTCTTGAGATCTTTCACTAGAAAGAGAGGTATGGCACAAGCATTTGGTAATCTCATTGTGTGTTATCCACTGCATGTCTAATACAAAATCTCTGTCATCTTATTAATAGTTCAGCATCTCAAATATAGTGGCCCAAATGAGAGAACAACGTTATGGCATGATTCAAACGAAGGTAAGCGTTCACTCCATAGTTTGTAGTAAGAGAAATGAATGTAATGGTTCATGTTGATTAGCACTTTGCAGTTTATGAAACTTCCCTACAAGGTCCAACTGAAGTCTTACTGTTTGAGGTAGATATTGGTTGCGCTCTGACGTTATTGATTAAGTACTTCAAGTTCAAAGGGAAGATATCTGTCATTAGGATCCCTAGATGGCTGGGCTAGAGCCAGAACTGAACCTGAAGTCTCCTGATCTCCAAATGCATGCCCTTTCCATAGCAAGCTTCTCCAAGTCATAGATAAAGTGTTATTTTTAATAACTCAGATGATAAGATGCTGATTTGGCACATCACAACAATATCATTTATGCCACAGATTAGTTACTAATCATCAGGAGATCAAGATAATATGATTAACTAATTAATGTGGGAGACTTCTTAGAACTTGAGTTAGCTAAGGAAAATGCAAGGACACTGAAACCAACTCTTTCACCGCAGTTCAGTTAAACCTTCAGTTAATTAGCTCTAGAACAAAAGACTGAGAACTATATGATGGTATTTTATCTACTTATATTTTTAAAATGTATCTGCATAAATGAGCACTTGTTTAAGTGTTTATAGTTAATTGTTTGCTTTTTCTACTTGAGGAACTTTCCTGTGTGGTTGAAAATGACAAATGTGTCATTTGAAAGTATTTCACAGTATAAAATTATTTAACATTCTGTTGTTTCTCATATGTGCATATATAGGAGCAGTATAGCTTTTGTTACGAAGTTGTGCTTGAAGTTCTCCAGAAACTTTTCACTCTGGGTTAAAAAAGACTGGCAACAAAAGCCTCTCGCTTGAGATGATGAAGTGGCTTGGAACTTCCTCGCAAAGGACATGTGGGAGCAATGCCAAAGGCCTTGTTTGTTCATGAGAGTGTGTTTCCTAGGTCCACAGATTCTCTTCCTGAAAGCTCCCTGAGGGCAGCCTTGGTTGTTGCAGGTTCCCCGTGTGTCTCATTAGACAAGCTCCAGTCTCTCCCAGGCTTTCCAGTGAGACAGAGGTTACACAGCCTAACTATTTGCTTGATGGGGTTACAGAGCCCAATAAACAACCTAAACTGTATTCATTAAAATTTTATTTGGAAAAGTGGCCAAAGGGAGCTGAAGATTTCTGAGACTTTTATAAGCCCTTATTCTGGGAGAACATAGTGCCAAAAAGTGATTTTTAAAGGCAATTTTCAAACAAACATTCATCCATGTTCATTAGCTAGAGTCTGTACTTCCAGCTGGTGTTTGAAAAACCCAGTCAAAAAGAGTCCGAGGAGGTGGATTAACTTTGGACACACGTAGAATTCCTTTTGCTTAGTTTTAGACACTCCTGTGGGGCTCCGGGGAACTCTGAGGAGGAGCTGCCTTCTCTGCACAGCTGGACAAGGTCCTGTTGGCATGAAAAGCATTCCACGGGTGGACAGAGTCCTCATCTCTGTCCTGTAGGCACCCTGGTGAACAGTCCAGAACTAAATAGACGTTTACGTAGGAAATCCAAGAGGAAATGTTTGCCTGCTTGAGTTTGTTCCAGTCCCACCCTAACACTTAGCAGATTACTCAGTTTGCTTTGTTAAAAGCAAGTACTGTATTTTAATTGCATTTTACTGTGCCCATTAGTTAACCAATAAACTTTGATATAAACATTATTACATAATTCTGAGTCATTCTTTGTATTTTTACGTGGGATGTGTTTTCAGATCAAGATCTACGGTATTCTCTTCACCAAAGTCCATTAAGTAATTTCTTTCCATTACTACTCTACTGTGCTGAAACATTTAGAATTTGAATTTGGGAGCCAAATTTAGAGAAAGCAAATTTGTGGTTGTAAAATGAAAAGTTCCATACTCCTTTTCTGGAAAGAGTTGGCCATTGTCACATTCATTTTGTTAAAAAAAAAAAAAACAAAAAAAACATAGGCTCATACAATTATATGCTATTTTGGTCCGGGAGTTTGGGTCACCAGACTGTTTATAAACTACAAAACAATTAATAGTTGACTATGTATACATAGTGTATATAGCTCAGTGGAGATCAGAATATTTGATGTGTTGAGAAAATTTGTAGTACCTTACAGACCTTAAACTTTAAGAGATTTATTGTTTTCTTTTGACTGAATGAGTACCTGAGTTGGTTAGGTTAAAATGGATAGTTCTCATTTAAAAATGGGAAACATGGGTGAAGTTCTGGCTTCAGGCTGGCCCAGTCCCAGTTGTGGACATATACGGAGTGAAGCAGCAGATAAATATTATATCCTCAAATTCTCTTTCTCTCCATCTTTCAAAAAATACTGAAAAGAAACAAGATACTTTTGAAAAATGAAAGTTAATTGGAGCAAAAGAAGTTATGAAGATGTTATCCAAAGCTGCAGAAATGAAAACAACGTGATTCTGTGAAGATGCAGAAACTGATGAGTGCAACAAACCGCAGTTGAGAATTGAAGACTCCTGCATATCTTTTGAATTTTTTATATGCTAGCAGTAGCCATTCAAACCCAGACCTTCAAAACGTAAAGCAAAAATTGATATATTGGATAAAGCTGGGAAGATAGTGAAACCTACAGTTGGAATTGAAATTTTCGGGGTTGGGTACATGGTGCAGAATTCTGCTTCATCGGCCAATCTTGACTGATGAGCGGAGGAAGAAGCCCACCCCCTACCCTGCCCCCGGCTGTTTTTTAAGCAATCAGTACCATCTTTATTCCATGGTGTGGTCTGGATATAGCTGCAGAATCCTTCGGCATGTGTGTGGGCTGGATATGGGATGCACCAGACTGGGCTAGAATCCAGCATCCATTGGTACTCGTGAGAACCAGGGTAGGTATAGGATGGGCTAGACCAGATTTCTGCCCCCACTGAGCCATGTGTGTCTGGGCATGGATCAGGCTTGGTTAGGCTGTAGTGCCCAACAACAAGAATGGGAGTGGGTGAGGGCTGGTGAGGAAAGGCCACTGTTCATGCTAGGACAGGAGATGGACTAAGTAGTAGGGCTTGACCGATGGACTTTCTGGTGTGTGCGAGATCTGGCATTGGGAGAGATCCAGATGGAGGAGCCTGGGGAACTCCTCTGTTGGGACACACTCCCTGCAGGTGAGAACAAGAACCAAGACGGGGAGCAGCCCAGCCCAGGCCAAAATACGGTACCCACCAGCATACATTTGGTGTAGGTTGGGGGCAGGCCAGACTGGGTCAGTCCATATCACCAACTGGTGAATCCGAGTGCCAGAGTGGAGTGTGGGTCAGGCTGAGTCAGGGCGCAATACCAGCCAGTTCACATGAGGGCTGGGATTGGGGGCTGGCAGGGGTGGGTTAGATTATAGCCCCCACCAGTGTGAGTTGGAATTGGGGTTGGGCCTGGCCTGGCCAGGCTACAGCATCCACTGGTAAATGCCAAAGTCAGGGTACTGTGCCAGGCTGGGCCGCAGCACCCAACCAGTACATGTAAAACATGGGTGGTGGTGGGGATGGTCCCAGTGAGGGGGCTGTGAAGGCCCCCCTGCTGGACCACTACTCCCACTGGTGAGCATGAGAGCTGGGACAGGGGCAGACCAGGTTGGGCAGGGCCACATCCAATGACCTACCTGTTAGCTGGATCAGGGAAAAGCCAGGCTGGGTTGACTGTACCTTTTGGTACATGCGTAAGTCAGTATTGGTGTGGATTGATTGGGCTTTACTGCAGCATCAGCTGGCAGATGCTGGCACAGGGGCCAAATTCTGTCAGGTGCAGGCATGGCTCAGACAGATGGTGGCACCCGCTGGCACCAGTGTGAACTGGATAGTGGGGGCTGGTTGGGACACACTGAGCTTCAATACCCATCAACATGTACGAGAGCTGAATGGGATGTGGGACAGATGGGACCAGTCTGCTGTACATACTGGCAAGCATGGGAACCAGGGCAGCAGGTGGGCCTGGTGAGGGTTATTGGGAGTCTCCCCAACTAGGCTGCAGCTCCCACTAGTGTGCGTGAGGGCTGATTGTGTAGTGGGACGGATTGGGCTGGGCTACAATGCCTTCGTGATTCGTAAAACATGGGGTTGGAGACAAAACTTACCCAGTAATTGCAACTACCAGTGTGTGCATAGGCTGATTTGGGTGACAGACTGTGCTGTACTTGTATTGGCAAACACACATGAGAATCAGGTCTGGGATGGCCTCAGATGAGGTTTCTTGGGTGACTGCTTACCAACTGAACTGCTGGACTCAAAACCCTAACCATGGAGAGAACTGCAGGTTCCATGGGCTGAGTGGATGTGTCAGAGCTGGGCCTCTTCAGTGGCTCAGACAGAGCAGAGGATAGCATATCCAAGTGTACATGGAGGATATGGCTGTACATCGGAGCCACCAGAGGAAATCTGGTACCATGGCAGAGGATAGAGGACAGAACAAATCGATCAATTACCCCAGCCAATCATTGGCAGTGAAGATCTTGGCAGACGGAGACACTAAAGTGGTGGACTATAGCAGCCAGTGGATTTGGTAGAGATCTCATTGTGATTGGAGTGGCGGGTTCACCAGCAATTCAGGACTATCAAAATCTCTTGAGAAATTCATGGTGTTGTAAATTTCTATTTTTCTTCCTGTAGTTGATTTTGTATTGTGGCTTTTCATTTAAGAGGGATGTGTGGTGATGGTGTAATGGAGACTATCATGTCCAGATGTGAGGATACAGTGCAGTGTGCATCTCTACTTCCAGATCAAAGATGGACTGCTAATGAAACTGAGCTGTATCTTGACAATGGGAGGCTGCACTCTCTGCCACTGTCCTTGCCCACAATGATGAATGTGTGACTGTTTACGAAGAGCTTCGCTATAGTAATATAGGGGAATCTGGTGGGGGGCAGGAGATTTGAGGAGGGGACAGGGTAAATAAAAATAAGGTATTAAATACAAAAAACAAAACAAAACAAAAAAGAATTAAAATTTTCAAGTAGAAAATCAGCAAGGATATAAGAAATATCCTGTTAGCCGGCTTGACCAGCTGATATCTGTAGGCACTACAGCAGACTAGAGTGTACACTTTTTCTAAGTGCTTCAGACAGACAATGCTTATGATCATTATGTGAGTCTCAGTGTAATCCATAAGAATGGAACTCATAGAGTTATGTATGTGATTAGCCAGAAGTCAATAATAGGGATTTTCAGAAGTACTTGACAATTAAACAGTGCTCATATAAATAATCCATGTGTTGAGAAGATCACAAGAAGAGAAAGAAAATATTTTGCATGGGTCCAGCACGGTGGTTGAGTGGCTAAAGTTCTCACCTTGAACACGCTGCGATCCCATATGGGCTCTGGTTCTAATTCTGGCAGGCCCACTTCCCATCCACCTGCATGCTTGTGGCCTGGGAAAGCAGTGAAGATGGCCCAAATCCTTAGGATCCCGCACCCGTGTGGGAAACCTGGAAGAAGTTCCTGATTCCTGGCTTCGGATTGGTGCAGCTCTATCCGATGCGTTCACTTGGGGAGTGAATCAGCGGACAGAAGATCTTCCTCTCTGTCTCGCCTCCTCTCTGTACATATGACTCTGCAATAAAAATAAAATAAATCTTAAAGAAAATATTTTGCACTAAACTGAGTAAACAAAACTTGTCAGATACAGTGAATAAGTTTGATGAGAAAGTCATGCACTTGGTTTGGGGCACATTGAATTTCCTCTTATCTGTAGGATCTCCGATGGACTCTACAAATTTGATGTAAAAAGATTATTGATTTGCAAAGTCAGATCTGGGGCAATGTTTGTCTTGGAAGTGATGCTTGGAGGCATGCAAATGGATGAGTTCTCTAAGTAAGGTGGAAGCCAAGGGCCAGTGCACTTTAATACTGACTCCCATCCTGACTGACCCTCCTGGCCCCCTCTAAGAGTTGCCCCATCACGAAGCCCCTGTCCCTTCTCCTCCATCCCTGATTCCTTCAGCCATGCTTCTGAGACTGTGGTGGAGGATTCATCTGTTACATGCACAACGTGAAAACAGAGTCAACAGGACGAGAGCTGAGACTGAATGGCCATTGTCCTCATTTAAAAAGAGAGCTTAACGGATTACAACTATTTGATTCTGGTCCAGCTCCCTGCAGATGTGTATGGGAAAGCGGAGAGGATGGTCCAGGTACTTGGGTCTCTGCCACCCTGCCATCCTGGGAGACCAGGATGGAGTTCCTGACTCTTGGTTTCCACTTGGCCCAGTCCTGGTGCTTGTGACCATTTGAGGGAATAAAGTGATAGGTGTCATGTGGCCTTTCAAATAAATAAACCTAACAAACAAACAAACAAAAAAGAACTTTTCAAAGAAAGTGGGTGGAACAGAATCAGAAAACTTCCAACGTAGGCATAAAGAAGTTATAAAAGCTATTTGAAAACAAGCCACTTAAATGTTTAGGAAATCTGAATATGTAAAAATGAATAATAGAGGGGGCAGCATTGTAGATGGGGGAGGATAAACCAC